GAGACACACAAGCTCACACACACACACACACACACACACACACACACATACACACATACACACACACACGCATGACAACTGCAGGGTAGCGCACAGATGAGAGAGGGGAGATGGGGGCTGAGGTTTTCCGCTCACGGGAGCAGAACGATTCGGATGTGGGAGGATATGAGAATTTCCGAATGTGGATGATTATCCCTGGTTCTAGAAGGAAGGAGCGATGAAAGCACACCAGAGAAATTATCTGACAACAGTGTGACACATCTCCAGAAAAAGCTGTTGGTTTGGATGTTTTAGGAAGAAAGATGGAGGTGCAAAAATGAGTAGTGGAGACTTTGTGGTTAAGTCCAAACATGGGTAGTAATCTGTTGCATTGCTAACTGCCCTCTGTGGTATTTTTTGATCTATGTTATAATGTTGTTTCCTCTTCAAAAACATACCTGGAGTTGAGTTTTATACATAAAACTTGCATGTTTAGGCTGAGTTCTTCTCTCAAACAGAAAACACTGATGTCATGTGGTAATACAGGAAGTGCTTCACTTTGTTTTGTAAATTCCATACACCTTCACTAGAATCATTTGGATAATTTCAGTCCTGAAATTGTCATTCTTTACTAAAGGTAAAAGGTAGCTGTTAACTTGAAAACTACCGCTTCATGACATCACAAGGTGGAACAGAGCATTTTGGGCTTTGGAGATGGAGACAGACTAATAATGCAGCATTACTCAAACGAATGAAACAAAATTCCAGGTATACTTCTAATGCAGTAACAACATTCTAACATGGCTTGAAGTTTGTAAGAGTCATGAGTCGTGCAGGTATCTCCTCTCCACAGATTTGATCTGTAACTTGGCCTGTTGTCTTGTCTCCATGTACATAGATATACAGTAAGAGGGGGTAGGCATTTATATGTTTTTTCTTCTGCCTACTCCTTTTGGAGTCTCTGTTGTTAGAACTGTTACTAAATATTCATGGAAAAAGTTTGATCACATTTTTTAAAAAGCCTCATACATTTAATGCTATACTCTCTCTTTTCAGGTAAAGCAATGCAATCTCTGTGTAGTCAAACAGGTGACAGACCCTCCACCAGAAAGTTACATAGTGTACCTTTATGCAATATTATAATTTTTTCGGCTCCTCATCTTCCCATGTTGTGCTATTGTTTACAGCTCAGTCATAAACCCCCATTAGCCCCAGTGCCCTTTGTCATGACTCACTCTCTTATTCATTATACTTATCAATTATTTACTCATTATATTTATGCCCCGCCACTAGCGACTGCCCTGCCAGTCAAGGGGAACTAACAGAACGCTGAAGCCGAGGGGCACACCACTGCAGCACCGTGCACTGGCTGACAACTACATTTTCTTGTACAGTCTCACTCACCTCCTGTTGATCTCTGTAATCCAACACACTGATGTATTTGGCATACCTTCAAGGCTTTAATGCTATTTCGGGACTATTTTTGAGACTATTTCCACGTCAAAACGCTACATATAGCCCTTTGAAACCCCCAGGGAATGGATGTGTGCGGAATACAGGAGTGAAGCAAAACTCGGCAGCTGTGGCAGGGCCTGTTTGAAAGTGAATTTTACCCTAGCTAACACGACAGGATATAAATCTCAATTAGGATTCAGCTGTAGCTATACACACGCACACCCACGAGCCTTCTGTCTAACGCACATACAATATATCCTCATCACAAGATTTCCATATAATGGCTTAGTGAGTGGTTGATAGCAGGCTACATATCATCTTGTATGGTTGTCTCCTCACACCGCTCTCCTCCGTGTTAAGCCATGACTGATTGCTGAGATGCAGAGACGGATAATCCCTCTGGTCATGTGACTTTGGTGTGTGTATGCATGTGTGTTTGTGTGTACAGGAGCAGAAGAACATAAAAGCAAACTGTCTGAAGATATCTACTGGTCTGGCTGGAAGATGAGGTCAAGAATCCAGCATAGAGACAAGGAAAAGGGGCCACAGCTTGCAGCATCTAATTGAAAGTCTCATTATAGTGTACACAAGAGAGTAGAGCAGATCATGTTGATTATTAAGTGAAATGGCAGGAAAGTTAGCCATATAAACTATTACTTAAAGCAGACCTATTATGCAAAATTTACTTTTTAGAGCTTTTAACCATATTATAGTTGTTTAACCTTTGTTTTACCCTCTAAGAGTTGTATTTGGAGTGATTTGTGCATGTTTGAGCAATCTTTAATTACTTCACCGCCACCAGCATAAGCACACTGCTTGTTCTCCAACTTTATTTGGTTATTTTTAAACTTTTTCCTTGTTTGGTGATACACATACAGCAGCATCATGTAGTGATTTTGGTACAAATGAAAAAAAATCTGTTCTCTCTAGCATGATGTGCAGCTATCCATTGGAGATGCCAAGTCTTTGTTGTGATGACGTTTATAGTGACGTCAGCTCTCAATGGGCACTGCAATTTTCTAACACAGAAGTCAGCAGACTTGTTTCTTTTATTAATAATTTTAGATCATTATTGCAATTTAAGGTGTGCAAATTATAACAATGATCCACTGGTGTCATAGATTATAACTTTATAGCAGGGTCAAGCACAATATGTGTTCTTTAACAAGGATAGTCACCAAGAAAGTGGGCTCCAAATGCAAATAGCAAATGCAATTTTTGTCACCCTTAGTACAACTATGAGCTGTTCCAATTATTGCAGTTCCAAGCACTGATGTCTTCATCAGCAACAAGCTTTTTTCAAAGCATTATATTTAGCTCTTAACAGTGAGATAATAGAAAATGTGTGTTATCACTTACAGTGGCAATTGACTCCAGTGCTTGAGAACAAATGAACTGTCTTGATGACACAAGAACAGTGTTATGATCCTACAAGGACACAAGTTCAGGACTCTACAAAGGCACTGGCATATACTGAGATATACTGAGATGTTAGATACGGTGATGAGACTTGGACCAGGCATTTTCTACCTCAGGGGTCCTATTTATGTAATTCATTAATGTGTGTGTTTTATTGTCTGTAACATTAACCTGCCAGGTGGTCTGAAGATGGAAAACAGACCAAAGATACAATCTGCCATATTTACAAGTGTCTATTAGTAAATGTTCGATATGCATTGTTCCCCATTTCAGAAAGGGCCCATATTGTGCTGCTTTCTGATCTCTGTTATAATACTGTTTCTTCATCAAAAACATATCTGGAGTTGTGTTTCATTTTGTTTACACATGCTTAACACACAAACCCTGCATATTTAAGCTTATTTCTTCTCTTAAACAGGAAATCACTCTGTTCCACTTTGTCATGTCAAGTGGTAATACAAGAAGTGCTTCACTGTGTTTTTTCCAGACACTTTCACTAGAATCATTTGGATATTTTCAGCTCTTGAATTGCTAATCTTTACTGAGCAAAAGGTAAAAGGCAGCTGTTAACTTGAATCACTTCATCATCACAAGGTGGAACAGAGCACTTTGAACTTTGAAGATGTAGACAGACTAATAATAAAGGGTTACTCAAACGTGTGAATGAAACTAAACACAACTCCAGATATGGTAGGTAACGACATTACCTCATGGTTAGACGCTCACAAGAGTAAATTCTGGATAATATAAGACCTTTAAATAAATAAATAAACAAATACGTAATTTTAAAATGGATTTGTGGAATTTATATTCTTACCATTTTGGCAATTAATGCTAAAAAAAAAAAAAAAAAAACATGATTTCTTTTTTTAACCATACAAAAAATATGCAACTCCACAAAATGCAGTTTCTATCTCAGCAAGCCAGTGCATAAATCTAAAAGTAACCACAAATATTTCATATGATCTGCATTGCTCCAAGTCTGATTCTCCATTATAGAAGATACTACATTACAGATGGATGCTTGTTATGAAACAGTGTGAGTGGTTGAACAGTTGGTCAGTTCATGTTACAGCCTGTGGGATCTCACCACCACAGAACGCCACAGAATTTGCATTATTTACTGGGTGCTGATTTATTACGTCGAAGCTATATATTGATCGAAGTGTGTAACTATAGCTAGAGGCAGGCTCACAAAGAGAACGGAGATGGGCGAAGGTCAAGGCAGAGGCGGAAGTGTGTGCAGGAGATTGGGGAAGTCGAGAGAGGATTTTTGACAGAGGAGAGATAAGTGCGGGTGGATAGAGTGGTGCACTGAGACTTTTGGGACTCTGCAGCTTGATAAAGAGAAGTGTATGGCAAAAACTCAAGTCTATGTTAGTAAGCTAGTGCTGTAGTGTGATAAGGAAAAAACTATGTGATTGACAGAAAGGACTGTGCAATTAATCCAGTTTGAATCGACGTAGAGACTAATTGCCTATAATCAGCTGGGTTTTTTAATTGAGAGGTTTATAGCCATACCTTTGGAGCTGAGTTCAGACTTTGGGGAAATACATTTGAATGTTTTCTTTGGAATGACATATGTTGATTTACAGACTGGAAAAATCAGTATAGAAAGCAATTTTATTTTATTTTAGTAACACAAAACAGTATTTAAAAAATATTGAAAAATAAAAAATAATCAAATAATCATATAAAATCATGAGAGACACAGTACAGTATCAGTAACATTGCTTTTGCAATGCTTTTCTCTAGATATGGTATTTTGGCTGGAATGTTCCATAGTATAGAATTATAGTTATGTATCTTCATGGAGATAATTAGGTGTAGGTCCCAGGTTACAGTCAGATCTGTGTAGAGCTGAGCCCGCCCACATTAAGAGTGCATGTTTTCAAGACCACAAAAATATCTGCAATTGAATAAATGCAAGAGTCTAATGGAATATTGTGGAATATTTTAGTCAAAGTATTTACTTTGTAGACAAGCACAGAGGGCTTGAGAAAAAGTAAAAGCCCAGTGAAGAGCATAAACTGTTTGCAGCCAACAGAAAGAGGTGGGAGGATCCTGAGTTATGATATTTTATTAAAGAAGCAAAAAGGTGAACCTGAGAACATGCAGTGTGGGTGTGTGGCCAGCAGGGGACTTACTGTTGCCAGCTCATCAAACTTCCCAAAGAGTTCATTGAGCAGTTTGACCAGTTCCTGAGCAGTGCACTGTGAAGCCAAGCTGGTGAAGCCCACAATATCAGCAAACAGGATGCTGTGGGAACAAAAAGAAAAATAAGTTATATAATATCAATAACTTGGCTTGTTGTCTTGTCTCCATGTGAATAGATTCAAATAATATCGGATAATATCAAATTAACTACAAATTTGCAGTAATACATGTACACTTCATATGAATATAACTGGTAAAAATAATTACTCTGACATCTATTTCAAGCAAGTTTTATGTGAGTGAACAAGATTCACAAGTGCAAGTGTATTTAACAATATTGTGCAACATAAAAAAAAATATATATAGTAAAATATAAACTGTAAGAAAATAAGGGGCATGCATAAAATAAGGTTTAGAATATATAAAAAAGACTATTAAATGGTGGTGATCTCTAGGCCTGAGCTCATGATAATTACTCCTTTAATATGTGAAACAATATTTACTGTGTGTACATTTTCTTTGTAAAAGTGGAGAAATTCAGGGTACAATAAGATGGATTGAAGAAGTCAGTTCTGTGCTAATTTAGCTAATTATTTATTGCAGGTCAGGCCTTTTGAATGACAATGTCTATTAAAAATGGTTTACTGGGATTATCCTGCATTGTTGTTATTGTGTCAGTGGCATAAAATAGTTTCAATATTATAATTTATTGCAGAATATCTCTGTAGCAATGTATCATACTTCAAGATTTGTTATCGTGACAGACTTAGTATCTGCCGCCACAGCCTTGGGGCAGACTGGCAGAAGTGAGGCTGGCAGTTTAAGCCTACAGCCACATTCATACATGTATCTTGGCCAAGAACACAACAACAGCATGCACTCATCAGAGCTGAGATTGAACCTTGATGTTTGTGTGTGTACATTCAAACCAGAGACAATGCTGCACTAAATACTACTGCTGCCACTACTGCCATTATTACTGTTAATAGATTGTAGAAAAAACACTTAAAATCTTACAGTGGTAAGAGCAGCTAAATAAACACCAATGTTACACAATTTGACTAATGGAACTCAACAGTGAAGTATGATGTCTCAGTATTAATTCAATCCCTGGTAAGTGAGAGCATCTTTAGGCCAACCACTAAATCACTTAAGAAGCTAAATTGCTCGCTGCTGGGTAGTTATCATGGGGTGTTGAGGAAGGTGTTGAAAGATGCTTAGCTCCTCAGTTATTTGCCCAAAGGCAGGCCACATGGCAACAAAACAAGGTGTTATGGATCTCAGCGACACCCAGCAACAGCTGCTCACAGTGGCACTCCGCATGTTTGTGTTGGTCTGTGTGCATAATGGGAGCATGTGAATGGTTTCCAATTCAATGTATGCATACACACTATTGCTGCTGTATCAAAAAGTCCTAATATGATTCTAGACTCATTAAACAATATGTTTTTTTGAGTGGGCTGATGATACTGACTTCAGTGGTAATTTGCTCCTGTAAAATTAGCTGTCTTCAGTGCAGCTCTTATGTTTTCTTTATTTTTCTGCATTTTCATTTAGTCCTCTAACTTTTCTAACTTTTCTGGTAGTCAGTTCCCCACCCTCTTGTCTCCATGCTTTGCCTAGAATGTACCACAGTATGGCATTTAAGTTATAGGTCAAGTTTGTTTTTTGTTTTTTTTCCTCCCACCATAAACAAAATAGTTAAATAAATACATATGTATAAAGCCATATTGTGGACATCATCCTCATAAATAAACAAAATGTGGATCCCTCACCACAAAAGTTACATAGTGCAACTTTTTTTTGGAATTTTTCAGGCTATCAAAGCTTTTTTTCTAATGACCCATCATAATAATCATTTTATCTTTCATTGTGGAGCATGTTTGGCCTACACATGAATTCAGTTTTAAAGGTCCTAATTACGCAAAATGCACTCATATGAGCTTTAAGAAATGATCATGTTTTTACCATAATGTTTGTGTTTTGTTTCATTCACACATGTTTGCTTTGTTCCACCTTGGGCTCGTTTTACCTTTTGTGCAGTAGAGATTCTCAATTATTACAGCTGAAATTATCCAAATGATTCTAGAGAAGCTGTATGGAGTGAAGCACGTATCACCACATAACATTACAATTATTACAACATTTTTGATGAGGAAACAACATTATTATAACATAGATCAGAAAATAGCATGTTATGGGCCCTTTAAATGTCATATCAAAATTGGTATCAAGTATTGAGCATATTCCTTACTATTGAAATCAAGCTTGAAATTTTGGTATCATGACAACAAAACTGCACTATTGTCTTTGATGCAGTGAATAATGTCTGTCTGTTCTCTCTGCCCCAAAGCAATTGTTCCCAAATGCTTCTTATTTTCCACCAAATGCTAGTGCTTCAATAGCCAGCCTGCGCTTCGTGACTGAGCTGCTCTTTTTTGGCAGTGCACTATAGCTTGCTCAGGAGCCTTATGTATGCAAAGCTGGGATCACGACTGCTGCTCCACAGAAGAGGCTCTGTTGTGTGATTTGTCTTTGAATGGGTCCTGCTGGCGGTGTGCAGTGAGTGGGTGAGGGTGGGGTGGGGGGCATGGAGGGCGTAAGGAGGCGTTCAGAGTGGAGGAGCTTAATAGGTGCGCGATCAAAAGCTCTCCAGGCCACTTCAAAGGGGGTCATGTGAGGGAGATGTCTGGTTACAAAGGAGAATATAATATAATTATGATTATATAATAATAATTGTGATTATTTAGGTTACAATATAAGAGCAATAAAAAAAACATGGTTATGGTGACCATTTTAGTTTTTGATCCAATCTAGCTTTCAAAAAACGAAACCTGAATGTAATGTGAGCTTTAATCTACCTGTTTCTGACATATTAACTTGACTTTATCATTCAGAAAGATTGATTTTATAATGCTCACAAACAAGAGGAATTTAAATCTATTACACAAAATGAATATGTTATTTTCTGATCTATGTTATAATGTTGTTTCCTCATCAAAAACATACCTGGAATTGTGTTTTGTTTCATTCACACATGTCAACACACAAATCCTGCATATTTAGGAGTTCTTCTCTTAAACAGAAAACACTCTATTCCAACTTGTGATGTCATGTGGTAATATAGTCATTTAGATGATTTAAAAAAAAAGATTGCCAATCTTTACTGAACTAAAGATAAAAGGTAGGTGTTAACTTGAAAACTACCACTATGACATCATAAGGTGGAACAGAACATTTTGAGTTTGAGAGATGTAGCCATACATGTGTAAATCAGACAAAACAAACCTACAGGTATTTATTTTTATTATTTATTTTACACAAGAATCCAATCCAATCAATTTTGTGTAATATGGGACTTTTAAGGATTTCACTGTTGTCATGTTGTCAGTAATTGTGAATAATTTTGAAAATGTTGTATTGTGACTTCCCGACTGATAACTGCATTTTCAGTTCAGTTACTCCAATATGATAACACAGTAAGTTTGAAAAACTTCTAGCAATCCTGAATAAACATAAACACTAGTATATATTGTTGTAATCTATTACCTGATCTCTCAAGGTTGGTAAAGTAATTCAATTCTACTGCCCTAGTGAACTTGTAAAAATACTTACAAACTTTTCATGATAGAAAAAAGAGATATGTTTTCTAAAATGTACTTACTATTTGAGTGAAAAAAATACAGTTACTTCAGTAATACAGTGCTTACAAACTACAAATAAAAATAAAATAAAATATACAAAACACAAAACAATACTGCTATAATTATTACCTTGAGGTCTTGTGCTAGTTCTGACAATGATCTAGACTGCTCTATAATTTTTCAGGAAAGGTCCAATTTTGTCCCACTTATGTTTAGTTTTCATTGTATTATTTCAATAACTGTTCAAACGAGCACCAGTATTGGTTTCAGCATCATTATTAAATTGTTAGAGGTCATTTTGGACACTTCTAGCATTCAGATTGGGTCTGTTGACTGTGTTGTACCAGGCGGCGTTTACAAGTGCACGTATCATGTTTAGCAAAGTGGAGCAGGGCTTACAGGGCATGAGAACAGACAGAGAGAGAGAGAGAAAGAGAGAGAGGATTGTCTCTTGACACGAGTGCTCTTGACACGCTACCTGGCCCTCCACTCCCACACTCCGCCAGTCTACAGCTCTCCTATTCTCTTCAGGTCCACAGCTCTCCTCTCCTCTTTGGGTCTACAGCTATCCTCTTCTCTATAGGTCTCTCTTTTTGTCTTTAGACCTACAGCAATCCTTTTCTCTTTAGGCCTACAGCTCTCCTCTTCTCTTTGGAACTACAGCTCTCCTCTTCCTTCTCTTTAGGCTTACCTCTCCTCTTCTCTATAGGTCTACAGCTCTCTTCTTTTCTTTAGGTCTATAGCTCTCCTTTTCTATTTACTGTTGTATGTTTTTAGCTAATCAGCCATGAGTCAGGTCACTTTCTCACACTCACCAATAAGCTGACCTAGCACAAAATAAGGGATGGACAGCTGCTATAAAGGCTAATTGAATACAGTGGGAAAGTTTCTATAAACAAATGAAAATAAATGTGTTTATGCGGTTTGTATCAGACAGACACTAAAACAACATTTGAGTGCATGGTTTTTATGATTTTCTAATGATTACTTGGTTTGGTGGCATAGACCATGTGGAAATTCTTTATCAGAGTTTTACAACAATCAAGTGGCAGTTTGTGGGGAAAAAAAGTTAAAAGTACAAAAATACAGAAAAAGTACAGAAAGTTCTAAAAGGGAATGCCTCTACATATGTCATCAACACTGAAAATTCCATGCAACATGCATGGATAATTTACGCACAAAGAACAATTTTTTTTTTACAGAATAAACATTGATTTAACATAATGAAGGTCTTGTCATCTATTTTTATTTTATCTAATCATAACTATTGTGCAAATAATGTTTTGGAACAATTATCTATGTTCTATGTATGCCATATCTGCTGCCTGTGTCCTACTAGGTAATAATAATAACAAATATTTTGTTATTTATGTTTGAAATGAAATGATTAGCCTAATCTGTCATATATATAGACACTTTAAGTTACATAAACAGAGCCTTTTGGGCATGTCCAAACTGCATATGATTGCATTATCTATGTACTAAATAAAATAGTTAACATAGAAGAAGCAACAAACAATACTTGTGCTCCACTGACTTGTTTACTTCTTTACAGCATGTTCAAATGGATTTTTTTATTCCAGTCTTCAAAGAATATCTTCCAGTAGTGCGTGCATATGCAGGGTATATTCCACTCTGTATGACGTAAGCTGCTAACTGCACCAGCACTCTGTTTTGACATAAGGCATCAATTATTTAATCATCAGAAATGAAATGTCAGAGACTCCTTGCTTTACTGACAAAATAAACACAGCATTGTATTATTTTCCAGCAGCATGTGCATAAGGGAATTTAAATATTGAAGATGTCGAAAGTCTCGTTTGCTCTAATATCTATCATGAATAATACCTTCCGGCTGAACTCCTGTTTGGAAAGCTAAGTGAAAGCCTTGGGGGAAATGCAAAACTCTTGGAAGTAGCAGAGAGACGATGCCCTACAGAGCTGCTTTCATGTAATTAACAGTTACCAGAAAGTGCTCACATTTCTGTGATGCTGCATGCCAATACAAAGCCAAAAACAACATCAGCCCTGACAGAAGATCCATAGAGTGTTCCTGTTCTCTAACCTTTATCTCGTGTGATTGGCTAATCTTAATTGCTGCCCTTCTATTCTTGACCTTGACGTCACAGCGAGTGACACCTGGATCAAAACAGTACGGACCCATGCGCACACCTTGGCGCAGCACAGTTGTCATGACACCCCCGTACCTGACATTGTCATGACGTTGGATGTAGATCTTATGAAAGATCCTCTCCGGCGGCTTCAGGAAGTCCTCCTTCATCTCCATGGCAACATTCCTGGGCAGTAGGCTCATTAGCAGACGCTCCTGAAGAGGGAGGAGACAGGACAGGAGGCTGCATGAGAACTTTAAATAGGAAGATGTGGATAGTGGACATACTGTAGGTGTTATGTTCTCTCGAATACTGTACCTAACATAGCACACAAAATGGGAACGCAAAGTGTATAAATTTCACATCACACAAAGTTGACCCCTCATGACTTTGCAGTTTTATGAAAGTTGAAATAAAAACTTTTAAGTGATAGCTCTTGGCCAATTTGCAATTATCAACAAATTATCAATCAATAAAAAACAATAAAAAAGACAATAAACTGTAATCATTTTTTTTTTAAATTGTCATCAACAGCTCTGCAAGTAAAAGTTGAAACTTTCACTGTTGTACAACCACAACCCAACCAAGAGTCATTCGCGATCCATTTGTTTTATGTGCATGATCATCATTGTAGTGGCTTCAAAGTGCCGTGATTAGAAGGTTTTTACACAGACATTAAATGTAATGTGTGCGGCATTGTGGCTCCCATAAAGCCTAACTGCTGCTGCAGAGTGAGGATATAAAAAGCATGGTGGAGATGGCTTTGGTGGTGACAGGCTGCAGGCTCAGTCCTTCTCTAAGAGCTGGACCTTCTTTCTGCTTGGTTGCATAAAAGACAGTACTGTCTATGAGTGCACTTTTGGATGTTTCTCTTTTTGGAGTCTATTGAGAAAATGATCATTTCTAGTTGAAAAGTCTTTAGAGTAGCCTCATTACAGCAGTTGTATTTACACACCTCAGCGTTTGTGTTTCTCTGTTTGAACAGTCTTGTGCAGCAGAGTACACTTTAAGCTCTAGTGGGATGTCCAGTGGTTGTGAATGCACAGTGAATCATCAGCTCAGCTCAGTTGCTGTTGAGAAGCTGGTTATGAAAACAGTCTCTCCTTGTGTATACCTCGTATTTCCATCCATTCACACAGCTGCTCCTCACCTGCCAATAAAACACTAACTGTACACAGGATTTATTCTTCACACCTCGAGTGGAGGCCTAGGGAAGTATGCTTATCCATATGGGCCAGCACTGAAGTGTTGTATGTGTGGAGGCTCTATGTAAATGAGCTATGTGTGAAGGTGTGCTGACTTTAATGAGATAATTCATTTATCTGAGTTATTAATCTCTTGCGCTTCTCTCTCTGGAAACTTCTTCTAATCGCACTGTAATGATTCCCATTTCTCTGATCTGTCCCAGGCTTAATTCACTATGTGCTATTTGACTGTGACTCCTCTAATAGAGATGTATTAAAGATCCATTAACGTTCACTCCTCTCACATTTACACAGATAACCTGCCCAAAAGATTACCTTCTGCCTGGGAAACTTCATATGAGAAAACATCACAAATTACTGAACAGTTTAAAAAGTGACAGTCACATCCAGGATTTCTCTGAGCGGTCTTTGTCAGCAGATATTTTACAGGTGGTTAGAACTCATTGTACAACTGCATCTGAATTAAACAAGTTTGTGTTCTACAAAGTCCCAGTGCCCGGTGCATTGACCTGTTGTGATCAGTCCAAACTCTACATCTGACTCAAAGCTACACCACAGCGATAAGAGAAGGCCCCTTTGAAGGCTGAAATTCAAATCTCAGACATTTATGTTGAGAATGCCTGGCTGCGGAGCATTGACTGGCTGTTGATAGATCCCAATCAGGGGTCTGCATGTGTTTCTTTCACCCAGATAAACTGTGACCTTTACTGGAGTATGGAGGCCATGAAAGCAATCTGCTTGTGTAATTACCTGTCAGAAGGGAGCCTGCTACTGCTGAGGGAAACACAGCATATCACCGTCTAATCTACAAAGCACAGGTGCTAAGTACGTGCACGTCTATTGTGTACAAGCAGAAATACATGTAACATTGGGCATAATTCATTTTCCATTGGGTCCCTGCTAATGCTAGGTGAGGGAGCGCGGGGCATAACCAAGTGAGTAAAGTTACGCGATTGCTCTTTAGTTAAATAGCTGCATTGTAGGTGTGTATGGGGGAGGGAGGATGGCTGTAGCACCAGTGCATGTGCCACTGTAATTGTTCTTTCCCGAAATAGCTGCTGTCATAGTTACTGAGCGCCTGTGGGCAGGTTGTTAGAATACATTGGCACCTGAAATTCTATAAAAAAAAATAACACAACTACTTCTCAGGAGACAGTGAGGATGTTAAGAGGATGGAAAGATGGGGTGGCAAACTTGAACTCGTATATTCTTTGCCTGGAGTTGGAGATTTTTTGCTCCATACCTGCTTCTCGTTCTCATCCTCAAGTCGGAGCCGCTCCTCGATGCAGTTGCGCGCTTGTAAGAAGACTCTCCTCTGGGTCCGCTCGGTGAGGACACGCACGAACACCCCCGACAGGTTGACACTGGTGAACAGCACAGCGTTGGCCACCAGCTGCACACACACAAACAAGAGCAGGCATGTTGTTACACAGGGGCCCTAGTGCTAAAGGCAAGAAATGCATATCTACATCAGGAGAGAGGACTTCTGAGAAGGAGTTTCAGTGACTATAGATCATTTGGCCAGGATTCATGAACCTGTAGTTCAGATTATATCAACATTTCTTTCTTCATACATTTTTATTAAAATGCAGTGTTACAAACAATCTCTCAAATGCAGTGAGACCCCTGCTTGAGTTCTTTTGTTCCCTCACAGGTTAAAAAAAAGTAATATTAATTAATTATCTCTTTTCCAAACATTCAAAAATCTCCTTACAATTTTATGCACTGTAACTTACACTTGGTTAATCACTTGAGGCCACAGCTGCCCTGGGGCAGACAAACAGAAGCTGTGTGATATCACAAGTTTCTGGTTTTCTGGTTCTGAGGTGAGAACCACAAGTCCTTTTCTGAAGGTTTCATATACACACAAAGCTCTGACTCTACTGCCTACATGCAACAACAGAGACTGAGTTCAGGAACAAACACTTTTCTACACTGGTGATTGACAACAGGTGTAAGTCCTACATTAAACACAATGATCAATACAACAATAACTGTAGTTGTAAAAGTGTATTGACAACTTAATTTTAGTAACAGCAAATTGTAGTGTAGTGGGCTCCATAAACATTCTTTAACATAATTTTAGAAAATAACAAACACATTCTGATATTTCTTATATGAGGCTTGTTTGTCTTTCAGCTAACACAAAAACATGGCATCTCTGAGATATCGGCCCATCCAACCACCAGCACTGACACCATAAGAAAGTGTAGGACAGGGCCCAACAGAGAAATGTACAGAAAGGCACTTGTCCGAGCTGGGATCAGGCTCCTGAACTTCAGACTGGTGGACAAACCATATAACCACTGTTAGGAGTTAGCAGTTAGCAGCGGCTGAGCCACCGTGCCGCACAATGTCGGCATGGTGCCTGAGTGGCTGGCACTCATGCCTCACAGCAAGAAGGTTTCCTTCGGGCTCCGGTTTCTCCCATCAACCCAAAATATGCTACATAGGTCTTCAAGAACAGTTGATAGCCAACGTCAGTCAAATACAATCAATAATGAATCTGCCCAGTTACTACAGGTGGAAATTAGCACTGGTTCTACAACCTGGTACAATGCATCTCTCCTGTTAAGGTTAATGTAAAAATTGTGCGCTGTCCCTGTCTCAAATAAATAAATAAATTAAATAAAAGATAGTAACACATCATATCATTGCCCATTTGCCAAATAATTTAAAGTGAAATTTGTAGAATCAAAAATATCCAAAATAGGAGGGAGTTCTTCATAAAAATTATAATATTGTAATTGTTGTTTTGAAGATAGGCCTATGTAAAATTGACATATTTACAATGTGTAATATTTTTTTAAAGACAGCAAAAAGAGCTGATTAAAAATAGATAGAAGAGAAACAAGGGTTTTAGCTTCCAAACAAGGGGATAAAATGATATGCATTTTTTTTTCTGTACTTTAATGGTTCATTTCACAACCCATTCACATTTTGTGTGGTACTCATTCAACCAAGACATTTAGAGGCATGTTTTAGCAGATTTTTTATACATATAAATATTGTCATGGAGACAACAACAAAATTGCTAATTCATTATTCATTTGTTTTATTAATATTTAAATTCATGGAACAACACCAAACTTCTAGATACATTTATCTAAAGTAGATATTGAGTTTTTAAGGTGGTTTACAGGAGTAACACATGTGGCTATATGATTTTATGCAGCACAGTATTTGCCTAGATTAGATTTTGCAGTCCATGCTTTAATCCATATGATGGATAGAATGGCAGTCATGAAGGTCAGCATGAGGATTATGACATGAAGCTATAGGTGAGACTCAAAGAACAGAAAGGCCTGCAATGAAAAGCAGACAAAGTGTGTCATTGATTTATGATCATAGGCCATTGATTCAGCATAGACACTTCATTTAGGGGATGAACTCTGTAAACACAGTTTGTCGCCAATTGCTCACAAAGGTTAGGGTTCAAAGGTCAATGAGATATGCTAATGCATTACAATGCCAGATGGGTGATGCTATGTATGCTGTCTGCGCAGACAAGGAAAGCATCTGATGAAAAGCTCTTACTGTCGCTAATATCTTTGAAAACCAGTGAATTTACTCAAGAGGTCACTTCACTAAAAGGGGTTGTTGAGTTTTGAACCACTAGTGAAAACTGAAATCTATCTGAATGAACACAGACACACAACCAAACCATCACAATTTTTATGCTAACCCTTACCCAAGCATATCAACACAGCACACAGATGTCACTGCTGACAAACTATCATTTATTCTCAGTCTTTTGTTGGTAAAATACTGCAGAGATCAATGAATTCAATGAGCTGCTGGAAATGTTGTACATTCCCACAGTGTCACAGAAGTGTCCTTCCAGGTGTAAATTGTAGCTATGAATCCAGTCAATCAATAGTTATGTGTTCTAGTATTGACCCCCTTTAAAGGGATCAAAATTAAAACAGCTACTGTCTGGAAGCAGAAATAATTCTAGAGATCAGACGTGATCTAAACATTAAAGAAATACACTTGCTCTATAAATGATATAGGGGACATTAATAGAAAACTTGGGGTAACATTTCTTCCGAGAGCTAGTTGATATGTTATGTCTTGGCTTCAGTAAACAGTCTATGTTATTCTCAATTGAATTGAAGAAAAATACACCTTTTGGATGTGGATTTTGAGTAAGGGCAAAAACCTCTTGTGAAAACTCAACCAATCAATACTAACATGAAGTAAGAAACTCAATTGACCTGTAACAGGGGGTTTCAGCACCGGACAGCTCCTCCTCTACTTCATTACACCTAAAGTAAAGCTGCACTTGTTTTCATTCTTCCAAATACAGTAACCTAGAGCAAAAATCAATAGCTGACTGTGTTTCTACTTTTCCTTTCCTCCATAGAGACAGTAGATTGAGTAAGTGTGCCATATTTGTTGAGCATCAGATTATTTCAGATGTAACTCAACAAAACGGAGATAGACCAGTTCTGGCTAATACAATCTGATTTGGGGAGGCAGTAGTGCCATGGATTTAAATTGTACATACATTGCTTTTATATCTGAGAAATTATGAAAGTTCTTTCAAAGCCCCTTTACGTTTGGAGAAATTGCTGACTGAAGTCTTTCATGAGACATATTTGCAATAAAAAGCACATATTTGGACACTCATGTCAGTTGTCCCACACTGTACTTACCGGCCTCCAGAGCTTTTGTTTTCTTCCGTTGAAAGATGTTGCGATGACGATGAAGTGGGATGCCGCAAGCATGACCCCAAACAGCACTGCCAACAGCGTGCGCACGGGCAGCAGCACGTAGGCCACGAGGGTGACCAGCATGAGTTGCCACACACCCTGTTCGGGACCCACGGCGCCCAGGGTGCCCTCGCGCGCACCTGTTAGCGCAGGTGGAAACGGGCAACATAGCAAAGCAAAGGTGAAGCTGAAGAGAAGTGCGAGCTTGGCGATCTGTTGCAGTTGCGTCACGTGCAGGTATTTGACGTTAGTGACGATGAAAAGCGAAAGGAAGACCACACAGTGCACGGGGCACGAGCCCTTGGACAAAGTGAGGCGCGGGCTGGACAACAGCTCCAGTAACGAGAGCGACGACGCGGCAACGATGAGCACCGCGAGAGCCTTGAGCGTGGCGGTCTGCTCGAGCTTCAGGTTGTAGTTCTGGAACAGCGCCTCGAGCTCGTGGCTATTAAACTCGTCCTCGCACGTGCCGGCCGGGCAGTGACCCTTCGTTCCATGGCTTTTGACTCTTTCGTGCGGCTCCATGTCCGGGCCATGCAGGCTGGGGGCGCACGAACACGGTACAACTTTTCAGCGCGTGTCCCACTGGAACCGGCACCCTCTCCCGGTGCGCGCGTCCAACACGTCCACGGGCTCACGGCACTGTTATGACGAGGGAGAGGGTGGCCACGGGTCTAGGCTCGTGCCTCTCGTCAAGGGGCTGTGTTCAGAGGAGCGCGACCACCCGCTGAGTCGCGCGCACCATCAACGCTGATCCCCCGTGAGCGCTCAAACAGCATCACGCCCGCATGACACGTTCGTCAAAACACCCGCTACGAGGCTCCGTCCGAAGCATTACGTGCCTTTGTCTCCCGGTGTCACGCGCCCGGTGCCACTGTAAACAGTGCCCGCTGCTCAAAGCGGTGTGGAGATGAGAGAGAGAGAGATGTGCGCGGTGGCGGAGACAGCGGCAGAACACCGACTGCTGGTGATTTCCCCGTAGCGTCTGCAGTCAGAGCTGATGTAGTTCCCAGCTAAAAATAGCGCAGCTGCATCGGAGCATGGTCCAATATAGCAACAATTTGGTCTTTCCCTCTTTTCGTTTCCTCATCTGTGTCACTGCGGAGTGACGCTCTCCGCAGTCACACCATCAATACATGTGAACATTAATGACAGGTGCGCGGCTGTATCCGCAGAAGCACCTTTCAATACCACTGAGATGAATGATGACGTGATGCACCATTGTTATGTCAGTGGGGCAGCGCTTGTCTTATTTGCATGCGTTTAGCGTCGATTAAGCATCTTAATCAAATTTCACCAATTACGCAAAGGAAAGACGTGCAAATTTATCAGTTTTAGATACTGTTTAATTGGTTAAAATCTTCTTTCAGTATAAGCGTAAAATCAATTAACGGAGCAATCAGCATGTATTCATCCTGCCCAAGTGATTGAGGAAGACTACTGATTGAGAGTAAATTTGTGAAGAGTACCTAATATGTTGAATAGTCTATCGCTAACACTGTATTCTAAATACTGAGCACACTCTTAATCAAAGATGTGTGAAGAAGACATCATGACACATGTGGCACTCAGTCTAAGGCTTTAGTCTAAAAAGTTTGTTATACATGCTTCATTTTTTGAAGCCTTTAAGAGATCTCCATCATTTACATGTCTCCATGGAGATGATACTGGCTTGTCTTTCCACAGATCAGAACAGTAACATGACCTGGGGGCATCATTTCAACTGCTTGTATGAGTGGGCATAAATCTGTTTAACCAGCCATGCAGCAGAACAATAGTATAAGATCAGTTGCTGGGAATCTTTGGAGACTGATGCGTGACTTTCTCCATCAAAATTTAGCTTTGAAAAGCTGTGTCATGTGTGTCTGTGATATCCTGTTGCCAGTGTAGACATATGCCATATGCTCCTGAAAAGAACTAAGACAGGTCAATATACCATGGTTCTTTTGCATCACAATTACATGTTCTATTTACAGCACAATGACTGACAGAGAAATCTATTCATCTGTTCCAGGTTATTTACAGAGAGATTTAACATCCCCGTCTCAATGCGGCACATGTGTCCCTCTTTACCTCATTCTAACTGATGACCCCTCAGACCACAACAGGCTGCTGCTTTTTAGTGCACATTGGCATTTTGTGTTGTAGTTTCCATAGTGCAACTGGTGACCTTACTTTTGTCACACATGTGCCAGAGATTGCTGAAATCTTTTAAGAAGTCAATGGAGAAGCCCATCAATGAACCAGTCAATGTGAAGCACTTTGAGCCTTCCTAACAAAAAAGTGTCTGTATGCACACAGTCAATTACTATGTGGTCAATACCTACTTGCGTCCAGTGTGTTTTAAATCAATAGGCTCCTTGGTCGACATCGCACCATTAAAAGCAAAGACATTCTGACCCAATCTAGAGGAGACTAATAAGATTTGGTGTAGCGTCTTCTTATGTGGAGATGAGTACTGACACCCTTCTCTTCCTTAGCTTTGGGGTTTGATATGAAACACAACAGGTTGTTAATATATAGAAGGATTTAATCATATCATTACCACAGAATCTCAGGAGTTTATTCTAAAGATTAGGCAACAGCTGAGAGGCGACATTACATCTTTACTACCCCACCCCCCAAACAAATGAGGGTGAACAGCCTGCTTTGTTGGTACTGAAAGAAGAATGACAAGATTATTTGATTTACTGACAAAGGTTATCAGGTCAAAGTATTTAAGTAGAAGTAAAAGATAACAATTGTACAAAAATATATTACCTCTTGATATCACAGTAACTTTTGACTTTATCATTCAGACATGATTTAGTTTGAGTTCATAATGTAAAAAGTAAATAAAAAGTAGATAAGAATTTTAGTGTTTTGTCCAAGGACACAACAACAGCATTCATCTATGGGAGCTGGAATTGCACCTACTGCCATGTCTCACACTCTCAATAGATACATATGTTAAGAGTGTGAGAGATTCTGCTGTTGCCAGCCAAAGCCAAGGTACTTCATTGTGACATAATGACAGAATGTGATATAAGCGAGACAAACAATAATAAAACCGCATCAATATAAACTATAATACAATAATACTCAGCAATTAGGGCCTAATTGATGGATCAGACATTTAAAGCTACAATAAAATACAGTACAGTACAATAAAAGTATTAAGCAAATTCATTGTTTTATTGCACTGAAAAAGTTCAAAAACATGCATCCTTACTCTGAGCAGGCTTGCATCTCCAGAAACCTGACTCTTATTTTGTCTGGATGCTTGTTTCCCTGCAAATATTGCTTCTTTGCCTATAATCTCCCACAGTTTAACATAAAATGCATTATCTCTCCAGAAAGATCACTTTAATCACTTAGCAAGCCATTGTGTCTACTAACTTTTGTTAAGGGCTGTCCAAGTGGAACAAACTACCAGTCAAAGGAGTTTTAAGCCTATGAACACCTCTCAAAGTTTGTCACACTTCTTGTACAGTTTTGTTTGGCTGGCACATCAATTGCATTTAGAGTTGGATCAGTGGCAAATTAATCCTGATAAATCCAATAAGTTATGAGTTGTTACTGGCACAGTGCTTAGTGATTCCACCTCTCCACAGAGCAGGTGGTGCAAAAGATCGTCAGGTTGACTTAATCTGTCTGAGAGGGGTCAGCATGTCCTCGCCATGTTACTGTGAGCTCCGACAATATAATAAACATGTATGTGTGAAAACTAATTAAGTGTAAGATTCTTACTGGCAACTTTGCAACTGGTCATCTTATATCACTTCCAGGACAGCTCAAGTTTGTGGGAATTCTGTGAGGACTAAACAGATGAAGGAGAACAAAAAACAATATCCCATTTGGGTTTAAAGCAGTTGTGTTTAGGTTGCATTCAGGTTCAGTATTTCAGATGGAGCCCAGGGACCTAAATAACTGTGTGGAATCCAAACGTATAAACCACAACTGTGGAACCTTAACATGATTTGTTAATGAACCACCATGAAACTTGAAACAAAATACAGAGCAAAATAAAAGCAAGTTTTCCCACTTATTGCACTGAAAAACACAGAAAAACATGCATTCTTACTGTCAGCACAGTTGCATTTCCACAAACCGGACTCTTACTTGGCCTGAAAGAGCGCCTCCACCTGTTTGTCTCCTTGGAAATGTTGATCCTTTGACTATAATATTACAAAGTATGGCACAAAATGTGACAGTCACCACATTAAATTCTTATACTGCAGATGAATAGTAATGATGTATGGGACAAACTAGCAAACAAAATCGTCCATGAAAAAACTGTATTAATACTAACAAGGATGCAAATAAGCAAAGCATGCCTTTTTATACAAGTTAGCCATTAAGTGTTTTATAAATACAAACTAATATCTGAAACACACAAACGAGCTCAGTCTAAATGTTTTATCAGCACTCTTGTCTTAAGCATGTCAGCTGTGATGTGAAATCATTTGAACAGGCACTCACAGACAGACTCCTGAGGTAAGAGACAGCTGCAGATTTTTTTGGAACATCCCTCTGTCTATCCCTCAAAGTACCCCACTACACCCCCCCTCCCACCCTACTTCCAAACCACCACTATTGCGTAGTCATAGCAACAGAGGCAGTAAAGGCTAGCAGTTGTGACTGATATGCTGTTGAGGTGTTTCCCAATCTGACACCCTTGGCTTCCACTCCAGGCTCTTTTGTGTGGCTGCTTCATGTCTCTGGGTGACTCCTGCTTTCAGGTGCTGGGCGATGATGTGTTTGTATCAGTCGAGCGCGGATGGGGTGACACAGCGCCCTGCCCTAAAGGCTCATTGTGCGCACTGACATTTCTCCAAATTGAGGCTCTGACATGAAGGAGCGGGTGGTGCCAATGGAGGCTCCAAAGGTGACTAAAAACAACACAAGCCTTCCTTCGCCAGCTCTCTCATCTCAAAACACACACACGACAGACTTGGGCCTAAGAGCAGGAGGGGTAGGGGCGTCTGGTAAAAAGTGGGTGTACATAAATTTAAGTTGAAAGTTTAAACATGTAAATAAAATCTGGTAATATCAAAAAATACAAAATACAAAAACAGTAGGACAGATTGAACACAACTGAAAGTGATATTTTTTTCTCACGTGCCACATAACATAATCTAACAAGTTGTTAATTGTGAGGTATGCTCAGACTCAAACTCACTCTTGAACATGGTTCACATACAGGAACATATCAAATACTTATTGCTTTTGCCTTAATCAGGAAAAATCTGAAGTTATGTTTTTTGGCCGTACCTTTTCAAATTTCTCTTCTCCTGTGGACTTGGGTTCACTAAATCATTTAGTGAAGGCAGTTGTTTCAAACTTAGGTGTAAAAATGAAACCTGATTTAAAATTTGATCAGCAAATTAGTGCTGTTGTAAAGTCTAGTTTTTTCCAGCTAAGACAACTGGCCAAAATTAAGACCATTTTGTCAGCAGAACAATTTAAAACTACATGCATTGAAATTTGAAAATACAGGCATTTGTGACCACCAGATTGGATTATTGTACTTTAAGTCAGTGTCA